CGATTTAGTTCATCTTGCATTGCATTCATCCAGTCTGCATCCTACAAAGCCTCAGCAACATTTTTAGGTTCAATAAGAGATAAGAATGCATCAAAAGCACACAGATTCTTTAATTGAGCTCTAGTTTTAACTCCAGAAGTAGGGTCAGTAAGGATGTTCTCAATGGGATGAGAACTTTGATACTTGTAAGATTTCACAACCAGCTGATTTCTGTTTGAGTTCTCCATGTTCTGTGTTGAGGACAGGCTCATGGACAGGTTCCATTTGGAATTAGATTCACTTGTTCTTTATTCAGTTCCCCCTGTCAGGTTGCCCTAGATGGAAGAACCTGTTCCTTCTTTTAGTGCAGCTTCACTTAATTCTTTTACCAGCCCAATAGCTTCATCTTCATGTTCCTGTCTCTCACAAAGAATGTTAGTTTCATCAAAAACAACATATACACTTTCTTCTACACATATAGTTCTTTTGTTGTACACTTTATAAGCTTTGCTATGTGAAGAATATCCCAGGAATACCCCCTCATCACTTCTGGGATCAAACTTACCTAGGGAGTCCTTTCCATTATTGTGCACAAAGCACTTGCATCCAAATGCCCTAAGGTGGGATATATTTGGTTTTCTCCCTTTAAGTAACTCATAGTGAGTCTTCTCTACAAGAGGTCTAGTCTTGCACCTATTAATGATGTAACATGCAATATTTACAGCCTCTGCACAGAAGCTATGGGGCAATTTACTAGAAAGAAGCATAGTCCTAGCCATATCTTCAAGTGTCATATTCTTTCTTTCAACTACTCCATTTTGTTGTGGAGTCCTAGGGGCAGAAAAATTGCGATCTATGCCATGTTCATAACAAAATTCAGCAAACTTAGCATTTTCAAATTCAGTTCCACGATCAGACCTAATTGATGCAAGTTGATTACCTAGTTATTTTTGAGTTTTTCTAACAAAGGCAGTAAACATGTCAAATGCTTCATCCTTAGATGTTAAAAATAATGTCCAAGTAAACCTAGAGTAATCATCAACAAGCACCATCACATATTTCTTACCACCTCTGCTCAATGTTCTCATTGGACCACAGAGATCCATATGAACCAGTTCCATCGACCTGGTCGTGCTTACCACTTTCTTGCGTTTAAAAGAGGATCTTACCTGCTTCCCCCTTGCACAAGACTCACAAACTTTGTCTTCCTTAAACTTGATGTTAGGAAGCCCTATCACCAGGTCCTTGGAGACTAATTTGTTGAGTTGACTTAAACTTGCATGTCCAAGTCTTTTGTGCCAAATGAGGGGATCATTGTCCAACACACTTAAGCAAGTGAGTTCATTTTCTGAAAGAGTGGACAGATCTACAATGTATATATTGTTTACTCTTTTTCCCTGCAAAACAATCTTGTCAGTGGTAAGGTTTATCACAAAACATTTGGTAGAGGTGAATGCTAACAAGTTACCTCTGTCACACAATTGTGATACATTGATTAGGCTATATTTCAAGTCATCTATCAAGTAGACATTCTCAATGGAATGTGAGTCTGTCTTACCTACTTTTCCAACCCCAATGATCTCACCTTTCTTACCATTTCCAAAGGAGACATTACCTCATTTAAGGTCCTCAAGTGAAAGGAACTGGTTCTTGCTACCAGTCATAGCAGCCACTATCTAAGTACCATATTTGGCTGCTCCCCTTCACTTTGACCTGCAAAAGAAAATCAGGGGCCCCAAACTAGTTTGGGTCCCTTTCTATAGGCAAAAGGGTGAATTAAATTCTTTCTAGCCCATCCAGGCAGCCTTTTTGTACAACTCATCTTTCATTTTTCCTAAATTTTCTTCTAAGGTGAGATGTGTATGATCAGCTTTCTTTTTAACTGTTCCTAATTTCAGTTTTAGATTTTCAGATCTAAGTTCCAAGACAGTGGTCTCAAGTTCATGAACCTGGTTCTTCAACTCAGTATTTTTACTATCACTTTCACTAGCCCTGAGTTCCAGATTTTTGCACTTAGCTTTTAGGATCACACATTCCCTAGACAGCTGTTCCTTCTCATTATTTATGACCTCAGACTCATCAATTAAGTCTAGTAGTAATTCAGATATCTTTTTTTTAGACAAAAATTTAATCTTGTCTTTGAGATGAATCACACTTACCTCTTGTTCGTCATCTGATTCTCCAATGGCCATAAGTGCTTGTTCATCTCCAACTTCATCTTCTGAATCCTTATCTGAGCTTTCTCCCCAAGCAGCAACCATAGCCTTTGTTGATCCTTTGCTCTTTTTGGGTTGAACCTGTTCCTTCTTTCTGTTTCTTCGTTCAGCCCTTTCTTTCTTCCATTCAATTTCCCACTGAGGACAATTCTTGATCATGTGGTCAGTCTTGCTACATTTGTAGCAGCCCTCGTTGGTCTGTTTTTCAGGGGTCCTTGGTTTGTTGAAGGTTGCACCTCTCGAAGAACCCTTTCCTCTCATTAGGTACTTCTTGAAATCCCTTTGTGATCATAGCCATTTCATTATCCTCTAAGTCTGCACCTTCAGCTATTCTGAGAGCCAGGCTTCTTTCCTTATTGGGTGTATCCATCTTCATGGTTTTCCTTCTCAGTTCATAGGCAGTGAGATTTCCAATCAGCTCATCCAACTTGAGAGTAGCAATGTTCTTTGATTCCTGAATAGCAGTGATTTTGCTTTCCCAAGTTACTGGCAAGACCCTTGTCAGGATTTTCTCAACCTTGTCTTCTTCAAGGATAATTCTTCCAAGAGACTTAAGTTCATTTGTTAGTGTTGTGAACCTTGTGTACATCTCTTGGATGGTTTCTCCTTCCTTCATGGTGAAATTCTCATATTGAGAATACAGCAGTGTTCCTCTTGATCTTTTTACTTGAGGAGTTCCTTCATGGGCCACTTGTAGAGTGTCCCAGATCTCCTTAGCAGTAGTACAGCTTTGAATTCTGTTGTACTAGTCTAGGCCTAGTCCACACACAAGCCATTTCTTGGCCTTGGCATTCTTTTCCCACTTCTTCAAATCTTCAGCAGTACAATCGGCTCTAGTCTTTGGCACATCCTCTCCTTCAGCATTCTTCTTTGTAGTAGCCAGGGGACCATCAGTAACAATGTCCCAAAGTTTATAGTCTTCTCCTATGATGTGGTCTCTCATCCTGTTCTTTCACCAAGAATAGTACTGGCCATTAAAGTGTGGAGGCCTAGCAGTGGATTGTCCTTCCCAGTTTCCAGGTGGTGCACTCATCTTGATCTGTTCCTAAGGTGTTAACCTCTTCAAGGATAACCCGCTCTGATACCAATTGATGTTTTATACTTCAATACCACACAAGAGGGAGGGTGATTTGTGTGGTACCCAATTTTCGCTTAACTTGATTATAGAAGTACCTGATTCTTCTATGTGTTCCAACTACTACTGTTGCGGAATAATAAATGCAGAAATTAAAGAACACAGAGATTTTTACGTGGAAACACCTGGCTCAAAAGGTGAAAAAACCACGACCTACCTTCCAGTTGTATTTTCCCAAACTCTCCACTAAAATCACTGAGCCAAAAACTGCATTTACAAAAACTCTTTTGTAAACCTAGGATTAACTCTAATCTCGTTGTGGCACACAGCCTCAACTGTTGCTACAACTTCAAGTTAACTCTAACTTGAAAACTCTAAGTACCTAATACAATTGCTTCTAGATAAGCTGAAAGGTACAATGTAAAATCACCTACTACAATTGAAATAGAATAAAAGATAGACACTTGGAACTGGTTCTTCTATCTAGTTCACGTAGCTTCACGTTTGCACGCTTGAATCACACACGAATTGCTTGTACAATTGTCTTGCTATTTTGCTCTCAATTCAAGTTTAACTTCTGTTTATGTGCGTTACCTGTAAAAGAGAACAACACTAATATTATGGAGTTAGTAAAAAGAGATTGACTAGAATACAGATGTTACTCTTCCTTGGTGGAAGAGTTCTAGTTGGTCTCATCCTCTAACTCTATCCATTTCTTAAGCCGTATTTCTCTTTTTGTAAGGAGTCTTTCTCCTTATCCAATATGCAACCTTTTCGATCTTGATCAGGAGATATTACTTCTGATAAGTAAGGTTTATCTCCTTCATGTGCATCTCACATGTTTGAGTTGATTATAACTGTGCTTCACAAGATGGACCTGGTCCATGTCTGTGTTCCTTTGTCAGTCTTCAAAACTTCACATTTACTTGGGCCAACAGTATATCCTCTCTGTATGCAATTGTGGAAGGATTATTTGATACTTTACGCATATCTTCTCTATATGCAAGTTTGATGATTTAATGATGTTGGACGCATATCTTCTATATATGCTGAGTTGTTGAACTGGAATAGTATTTGGGCATATCTTCTCTATATGCAATTGTTGATGTGTTATTTGATATCTGAAGCATACCTTCTTTATATGTTGAACTGTTAAGAGACTTGCGCACATCTTCTCTATGTGCAATGTTGGTGGTACTTATATTTTCCTATTTAGACCTTGTTACTGTTGCTGGGTACACGAATATGTTATTGATTGTGTAGGTTAAATATATACAGTGAGTATCCTTGACCGAGACCTCATCACTGCTTTATCGAGGTTAATCAGGATACATACTTAGTGCACATGGTCGATTATACTCATACTACACTTCTGCACTTTGCGTGCGGATCCTGGAGCTGATCTACAGTGGATGACGGAGATTATCATTAAAGATATACCTGCTTTCCGAATATAGCTACCATTTGTCCTCAGTAGCTTTGAATTCGTACTCTGTTCATGTATATTCCAAACACATGTTGTATTTATGTTCGAACTACCTTTGTAAAATCTAAATCTTAGTGACTCGTGACTTGTACTATCAATCATTTGGATGTTATATAGATTTTAGCTATTCCACTCCTTGTTATTATTGATTTGTCACTTGTGTTGCATTACTCTATATTCGGCTTACCTAGCATGTTAGGATTAGGTGTCTTCACGACAAGGTGAATTTTGCGTAAACACACTATCAAAAAGACATTGGTATACAGAATAGTCAGTTTCTGCCTCAGATAGACTCATTATGCTAAGAAAGATATATATTTTTTCAAAGTGATATGATATGTATTCTTTTACAATATTTTTATGTGAAATATCTTGCAGTTGTTAACTCTTCTGCTTACTAAGTCGCTATTGCTCTTTCCCGCATTGGGTTCCACAAGTACTCGCTTCTCCACGCATGCGCTTCTGCAGATGCTCCAAGCTAGCCACCCGCTGCATTGAAGAAGTTCTGCCAATCTTATTGCCCCCGATTGCTTCTGCTGCAGAACTCTGATGTGCATTTTCCATGGAAGGAATATCTATCATACCATTTTGCATTCTAGGAGTATGATTGGGCATATGACTATTTTCCGGTGCTTGATAGTAGTGATGTCTGGGGTCATCTTGTTCAGGAACAGCAGCGTCTGCTGATGAGTCAAAAGGACTGCCAGTGAAAGATGGCATCATCATTGTGGATATCTCAGACATAGCTTGGAATAGCGGGTTTAACCCAGTAACTCTTTTAACAGTTTCTTCAGCCATCTTCACCTGCACATCCGTATATGAAGGACTGTTATACAGGTTTCAAATAGAAAAGGACACTAACAATGAAAAGAAAATGGAACAGAAGGATGATACCATAACTCAACTTCTTTCTCCCCAAATAAAATTCCAATGCGCGAGATCTCTCTACTACAGGTTCTCTTATTTAGTAGAGGGGAAAGAGAAATTAACGGAGGGATGGTTCTTCTCTACCACTAGTCTATTAGCCCGTTTGGCCAAGCTGCAAAAATCAGCTTATTTTGAGAAGTGTTTTTTTTCTAAAGTGCTTTTCTCAAAAGTACTTTAAGCACTTTTGGTGAGAAGCAGTTTGTGTTTGGCTAATTAGTTTGAAAAGCACTTCTGAGCAGCAATTAGTGTTTGGTCAAGCTTTAAGAAACTGCTTCTAAGTGTATTTTTTTCAAAAGTGCTTCTCAAAAAAGTGCTTTTGGAGAGAAGCTACTTTTTTCTACTTCTCCAAAACTGCTTCTGCTTCTCCTCAAAACCACTTTTTTTCCCTCCAAAAGCTTGGCCAAACTTCTCAATTTTTGGCCAAAATGCTTTTGGCAAAAAAAAAAAAAAAAACACTTTTGGCCAAAAAGAAGCTTGGCCAAACAGGCTATATATCAGCTAGGTATCCTAAAGTAGGTGGCAGTAATACAAGGTAAGCTTGTGTGCAAGTGTAATTTAAATAAAGCCAGGTAGATTTTGATTAAGAAGCACATTAGGCATTTCAACGTCTAGAAGCATGGAATGACGAACAAAGAGGAGATAGCAAAAGTGTAACAGGAATTTTAAACTCAGTTTAACTTTCTGATCAATTGATAAAAATGACAACGCAATGAAAATATACTTTTCAACTATATTTACCTTACTTTTCTCCAACACAAATGAAAAGAATATTGTTAAACCCGTTTCTTCTCCAAACACTGAAAGTAGCCTTACCTTTGCTCTCAATGTCTCAACATCTGCTTTCAATACTCTATTATCAACAGCTGCTTCATTGTATTTCTGGCTTATGTCAGTAAAGCGTTTCAATAAAGAGGAGTTTTCTACTCTTACTTGAGAGACCTGCCATGAACAAATTTTCATTAAATGAATAGTCCTAGAGGTCGTTTGGTTGGAATACGATTTATACCGGTATAAGTTATGCCGGTATAAGTTATATTGGGATAAATTATGCTGGAATTAGTTGTTTATTCATTGTTTGGTATGTTGTATTAAGAATGACAATTGCATAATTTCTAAGAAGAAGGTATAAGTTATACCGGTGCTAATTAACCCACCTTCTATAAGGTATAAGTTATCCCGGTGTTAAAATTAACACCGGGATAACTTATACCTGATTTGCTAACCAAACAGAGTATTAAGATGGTATTAAATTTTTATATCACCTTTATACCTTCTTATACCTTCATACCAAACGACCCCTTAAAGTATATCTTAACTGAAAGCATGACCTAGAAACATACCTGTGTCTCTAATTCTGTCAGATGGGCCTGCTTTCTTCTTCTGGAGCGTCTAGCTGATTCTCTATTGGATAGCATTCTGTCAATGTGTTGGCACAAGATATTAGGATTATAACCAGATAAATTTGACATAAATATAACATACCAACAATAAGCTTCATCTCTTGGATGCCCGATAAATTCATTACCTTCGACATGATTTTACAACAATTACTACTACTACGCCTTAATCCCAAACAAGTTGGGGTCAGCAATATGATTCCTCATTTCTTTCATTTAGCTCAACTCATATCACCATCATAACCAAAATAAAATAAAGGTGCACTAAAAAAGATAAATTTGTTAAAAAAAAAATTGATAAAGTTCTCTACCAAGTCTAAAACCTATTCCCAACTAATAGGTATCACCTATATGGATTTTTTTCCTTCTATTTTGCTCTATCTTTAACCAAGTCTACTTTAATTCCAAGGATTTGTAGGTCTTTCGAGACAACTTCCTTCCATCCCACTATAGTTCACACCAAAACACCTTCTCCCACTATAGTTCACACCAAAAGACCGATGCATCTGTAGGTCGACGCGGGACATAAACAAACCATCTCAAGCAACCTTCTCTCGTTTATCCTCAACGTGTTCTTCATGCACCTTCTAGCGAATGTGATCATTTTTAATTTTATCTAATCTTGTGTAACCACACATCCATCTTAGCATTCACATTTCTGCAACTCATCTTGTGGATATGTCTTTAGCAGCACAAAATTCACTACCATATAACATAGTCGGTCTTATAGTTGTTCTATAGAACTTACCTTTCACCTTGGTAAGCATCCTTCTATCACATAACACCCTGGTTGCACTTCTATATTTCAATCATCTGGTTTAATCATATGAGTAACATCTTCATTTATCATTCCATTTTCTTGAAACAACGAGCCTAGATATCTAAATTATTTGCATCTTGGCACCGCAATTCCATCTAGTCTCACCTCAACTTCGCTCTTCTCATGCTGACGAAACTTGCTGTCCATGTACTCGATACTTCTACTAATCTTAAAAGCCTTGTACTCTAAGGTGTTTCTCCATAGGTCAAGCTTTCGGTTGACACCCTTGCTAGTTTTGTCAATTAGCACAATATTACTAAACAGAATCAAATCCAAACAACTTATATTCATGACTCCACCTCTAACACCATATCATTTTCTAAGGACTTATTTGTTCTTGCATAAAACAGACTACTCCCTCCGTTTCAATTTAGATGAGGTAGTTTGACTTGGCACAAAGTTTAAGAAATAAAAGAAGACTTTTGAAACATGTTGTGCTAAAAGCTTATGGGGCAAAAGCTTAGTGGGGTCATGATATTTGTGTGGCTATAAAAGCTTCTCATTAAGGGTAAACTGGATATAATGAAAAGTTTAAAGTTAAATTGTTTCTAACTATAGAATGTGTCATTCGTTTTGGAACCGGACTAATAAGGAAAGTGTGTCATCTAAATTGAAAAGGAAGGTATAGTAATCTTGTCATAAATGACACCTTCCTCATTGAAGTTCAGCTCTTTCCTTCAGAGGTAAATCAGAAAGATCCATTTGTCCGGAGGCAACTGCAATTGGTAGTTTGATTCTGTGTTCTCTGAGATGGAGAACCAGTCCTCCTTCAACCCAAGAACATCCTAACTGAACTTCGAAGCTTTTAGGCTTTTGGAAAGGCCAAAAAGTATCTGTACGTCCATTTACTCTAAGCCTTCCACTTGAACTGTAGACCAGTAACTTACAGGGACCGGTGCATGGCATTTTTCTTGTTTTAATATACAATAACTGAGGATGCAACGATAAGGGCCATTTACCAATCAGAAAATTAGTAGAGGACAATGTAACAATGTTGCCACAACATATGAGGATGCAATGATAAAGACAACTTACCTATCAGAAAAATGTAAAGGAAAATGTAACAACTCTGCAATATCTTGCCTTCATATGAACACTCACTACATAAAGCAATTCACTGAAAATGACCTGTCTTATATGAAAGTTATTGGAAGAGTGTATAATGGGGAATTTCACACAGTAAGACAGAGGCCGTCAAGATTTAATAATGAGGTTGCCTCAGCATTGTACTCTTCAATGTCCAGAACAACAACAAAGAACAACATACCCAGTAAAATCCCACTAGTGGAGTCTGGGGAGAATAGAGTGTACGCAGACCTTACCCCTACCCCGAAAAGGGCAGAGAGGCTGTTTCCAGGAGACTCTCGGCTCAACAGGAAAGGCAATAATATCAGAAAAGAAAAAAGCAAAAAGACATATAACAATAAAAGATACCAGAAAGAAAATAACCACAACAAATAAGTGAAAGGACAATAACACAAAACTATGCAAAACACCAATGTGAATACAACAAAGATCGCTAACAAACCTACCGAAACTCTAACAGACAAAAATGATGTGTCCATCCACAAGGTCTTATCAGATACTTTAACTCCTTTCTCAAATTCAAACAACTTCAACAACTCTAGTCTCCAACAATAAATATTTTGGAGATGGTGAAATTATTGATAACTAAAAGTATTAATTAGAAAGCTAGAAAAAACATTGGCCTTCACTAAAATTTAAACCACGTGTAAGGCATGGAAAGAAAACAATCGGCAAAGAGGAGAAATCAAAAGATTCTGGATAAATCGAACATGGATTTGGTTAGATAATATTTCCTATTTAATAATTATTCATGTGTTTGGACTTGTACATATTATTTTTCAATTTTGTATATAAATGGTTAAGCGTAAGGAGTTGGTTCGCTAGGCGGGTGGTATTAGCTAGGTGTCAATCACGTCTATGGGATAATTTGGGACGTGACAAAAATGAAGTTGCAAACTGTATTACCTCCTCACTCGTTTCACATCAGTTGGATCTGTTGATTGAGTTGTTTCTCCTTCAGCGTCATCATCATCTGATTGCTCCCCAGATGAACCACTTGTTGTTGATCTTACCTGGATCCCAGGTTTCTTCTGCACTGCAGGCAAGGGGGGTATTCCAACTGGCTCATCAGCATCCTTATCTTGAACTTTTGCCAATTCCTGTCCAAATCCTGCTGCACCAATAAAAAAAAGGAAACTAAAGAATGAAGATACAACCTTGTTAAACGTAAATCATACAGCAACATGCAATGTCTCTTTCCCTGGATTAAATGGATATCTATGTTCATTAATCATCTTATTTATGTGTAGTGCATAACATGCTTTGGTGCTGATGACATCCTTGTATTCTTGGATAAAAAATCATAGACTTGGATTTCTGGTCTTTAATTATTGAAAATTTGCAATTTTGGTTTTTGTAATATATAACTAAGTGTATTTGGCATTCAATTAATTTTGATATGTTTTTGGTCCCTCCCTCCGCGGATGGACTTCACAGATCTATAGGGTTCTTAGTGCATGAACCATAATTTGAGGAAAATATAATGTTAGGGTATTGTCCTTTGTAGAGGAAAACAAGTTTTATTCTAACAACTTTATATATTACAATCAATAGAAGAATATAAGTACTGGAATAACACACACTCAGCATAAATATGATAGTCAAGTCAATCTATTTGAGGTTGTGTGATTCTTATGAGGTTCTATGAAGAGTTTTCCTTCTATCTAGTGGCATACATGTGCGACGATTAGAGCTCGTATCGCTTGAGGAAGTTGGCCTCCATGAGGATGAGTAAGCATCGGCAGATAACTTGGAGTGTGTTTTACTAGTACTACATGCGCCTATGATGAATTTAGCTGAGTAATAGGCGAGACACTGGCAACTAAGAAAGAAGAGTATTGTGGGATATCAAATGATGTGTTTTGTGGCTTCGAGCCAAGTGCGGAGTCTACTATTGACGATTGGATCGCATGGTCATGTGTTATATTAGTTTTTGGACTAAGGCGCACTTGTGGATCAGTTATGACTTGAAGAGGATGATTCGAGCAAGAGATTTGTTGGATGCATGATGTAATATGCTTTATTGGTATATGAAGGTTGTGGAATGACTCAGGTTTGATATTCAATGTAAATGCAGTGTGCAAGGAAAGGGATTCGCTTGGTTGCCTCTTTTTGGATATTCGTGTACTGGCGGAGCACTAGTCGTTCGGCGTGAATTGGATGTACATCAGAGATTATAGCAGAGTGGACACCTCTCGAGGACTCTAATGGGTTCGAGATTCATATGTTATATCTAAGGGTTCCCGGATCTGTATATGGCTATGATCTGAGATTTGCATCGGATGGTGCCGAGACTTGCAGTATTTCTTTTATCATTATTTATACTACATTGCATTATTAGAAAGGTGAAAGAAACAACTTCGGATTCAAAGAAGGTCTCTTCGAAGCGGGCATTTCGGTTTGAGGTACTTTGGGGTGCATGAGAGGGAATAAAGTGGTATACAAAATAAAGTGTTATTTTGTTTTAGATCTATATAACATAAGAGTTATTTGTATTTGGTTTGATTTATTAACCTTATCAACACTCACAGTTAGATAGAACAGGGCTTGCTCGATGAGTAAGCAACGTTGAGTGCCATCACGTCCCATCCCGGTTTCGGGGCATGACAGCAAACTCCTTGGATGTAAACATGATTTTTACAGCATATCTTCTCTATAGGCTAGCTACCAAGTATACATGCCTTTTATGCATATCATCTCCATATGCCGCTTGATGAATTGATTCACAGTACATATCTTCTTTATATGTTAACTTGGGTAACTTAACTTGCTTATTTGTGCATGTCTTCTCTATATGCAATTGTTGAAGAGTTAATGATATTAGGCGCATATTTTCTCAGTATGTTGAGCTGTTAAACTGGTACAAAACCTGTGCATATCTTCTTTAAATGCTGAGCTATTAAACTGGTACGAAACATGCGCATATCTTTTCTATATGCAATTGTTGACGAGTTAATTGATATCGAATGCGTATCTGCTCTACATGCTGAATTCTTAGCTTTGTTACAATGCTTGTGCATATCCTCTCCATGTGCACCGATGGCCTTATCTGTACTTAAGGCGTAGATTTCGATATTGTTGTAGTGTACATGTATATATTATTGAGTTGTACAGGGTAAGTATAGTGAGTATCTTTGGACTTAAAACATAGTCACTACTTCATTGATGTTTGTCAGAATACATACTGAGTACATAGGGTCGGTTGTATTCATACTACACTTCTGCACCTTGCGTGTAAAACTTGGAGCTGAGCTGATATGGATGCCGAAGGCTAGCATTGAAGATGCAGTTGTGATCCAGATTCAAATTGCCATTTTTTCATGGTAGTTCAGGACTTATGTTTTTGTTTATGTAAATTTCAAACAGATGTTGCATTAGTTGTTCGTACCAGAGTTGTATTTTTAATCTTAGTCACTCATGACTTGTGCTACAAATCTTTGAGCTTTTGTATGGAATTCAGCCATCTTCTTTATTGATTATTGATGATCTTTCATTTGAGTTGTACTATTCATTGTTTGGCTTACCCGGCATGTTGAGGTTTAGATGTCATCACGACTAGGTGGGATTTGGGATCGACGTATCGTGACAACAACAAAATACTGAAATGCATAGTATTTGCACAGTGTTTTATCATATGAAAGTCATGAGGCCTTACACACTAGCAAAACCTGGACTGGTTGATAGGAGTGGAGACTACAACAGGCACATGCTCCCTTCAACTAATAGAATGTTGACAAGCCATCAGGGTAAGTCAAGCAAGAATTGGTAATGCAAGAAACTCACTCGGCAGACACACTAAAGAAGAGCACAAAAATCATTTAGAATGTTCAAAAGAGAGGTCCAAACCAGATTTTATTTCTCCCTGTTATCTATAAGCACGTATATTATGTTTGGTTGCACTCATTGTTAATTGAAACGTGTTTTAATGGTCAACAATATTATGCCTCTTACATTTTCAATGCACTGTAGTTATTGCACGAATGATGGACACAGGTCCATTTAGATACTACCATTTCACCGAATATAATACTTTGTTATGGTCTTGCAAGCTTGGTAAGAGAAAAGTGACCCGATGCTTCATCTGCTTCTTTATTTTAGTAAGACTTCTTTCATGCTATTGCCTGAATCATTTGTTTGATCTCCCATTGATATCTATGCTAGCTTGAAAGGTATGGCTACTCTCTTGTGTCCTGCTGAACCTCCTTCCCAATAAAGGCTTGCTTCAGGATGTCCTGTTCGTGAAAAGCTTTTCGGAATTTTCTGAATTTTTTTTCGAAAAACATGTTTGCTCAAGTTTTTGCAAAGGTGATCTTTTCGGGAAAGAAAAAGAAAAGATCAATGATGAACAGCATTGAAAGTGCTTTTCATTTAAAATCTCAGTTACACACACAACTCGTCAAAAGAAAAAAGAAAATTATAATGGACAAACATATTTTTCTTTCTTACAAAACTGCTTCTCCAAAAAAAGTTTAACACCCTTCCTCAAAAGTCCTCCAAATGGTTAACAAGTGTAATGACACAGGTCTAATGAATAGTGAAACGCCTATATGTTAATTTCATAATTTTTTTATGAACAAGAGTAAGCAACAATACTAGAAATTTCCTGCGTAAGACACCAGCATCTGAAAACCAAGGCGATTCATAAATTTTGAATAAAAAACAAGGAAAAACAATATATTCAGTTTAATTGTTAACCCTAACCTTTTGGAGGAACCTGAGATCCAGATTGTGATGCAGTAGCCGACAGTGATCCTTTTTCGGATGGCAAAGAAACTGAATCTTGAGGTTTTACACAGTTTGCCTGAGGATAAAATTGCAATTTACAATTTGATTAATCCTAAATGTGGAGAAAAGCAAAATACAAAATAACATAACAGCAAGCCCAAAAGAAAAAAATTACACGAGTCAAAGCGAAGGCGGCGCAAGCCAAATCAAGGCGTTTTTTGAGGACAGCTTGGTATTCATCGGAATCAATCGGAATATTTGGAGGAGGTTCGGAGCCAAACGATGCCGTATTGGACATAGGCGGCTTCGGTTGATCAGCGATTAAATTCTGACTAAGCGTCTGATCCTTGATCTGCTGCGAAGAAGACGAGGAAGTAGTAGTGTCGGCGGCTGTGGCCTCTTGAAGGAATCGCTGAAAAGCCCATTCCGACGAGCTCCTGTTCATCATCTTCGATGACGACGTGGTGGAAGATGAATCCAATTCATGAGACAAACGCATCGGCGGCGGCGATGACCACAGCTGATCTGCAATGTCGTCCACAGAAAACACACTGTCCATTCTCTCTCTCTGATTTGAAGAGAGAGATCAGACTTTTAGACAAAGAGGTGAATTGCTAAATCTGAGCTCTAATTCTGATATATCTATGCTGTCTGTATCTTCTACCTGTATGTAAGCTGTAGTAAAACGGGGGACAGTTTTTATTTTTATTTATATTCAAAAAACAAGTTTTATCACATCACAGGTTTACCAAAGGTAATTCAAACGTGCTAAGTTATGTGCATACGATAATAAAAAAGTTATATCTGCAAGTGACACCAAAATATTAGATACAAAGTGTATATTTTTAGGATTGTTATAAATAGAATTTTATTTATGGTGAATGTCTATATTTAGAGAGATTCTAGGGTTTATTACTTGGTAGCTAAGTCACTCTCTCCCTATAAATAGAGGGTTCTATTCCATTGTAATTCATCCCAAAATTCAATAAGAATTCTCTCCCTACTTTTCTCTGCAATATTCTTCCTCTTCTTTTATTGTTCATAACACGTTATCAGCACGACACTCTACCCAGTTGAGTAGAAGCTTTGGGATTGAGCATAATGATTGTTAATTATTCCATGAACTTCCTTCATGATTAAATTTTGAATTTAAGGTAAGTATTTTACCGTATTTTTCTCTTTTATTCTATACTTTGATTTTAAATACAAGCAAAGACAACAAAGTATGATTATAACTCTAATGGAGTTTGTAAGAAATTATAACCACCTAAAGTGATAAAATTTCTATGCCTCGCCATGATCAAATTCATGTATGATTGTGGGCAAAGAATTGAAAACCCGTCCCATTGAATTTGCTCCATTCTCATTCCCTTAAGAGAATGTGATAGCAGTATGTGATAACTCTGAAAGAAGACAAAATTGTTACTATGAATGTATCAATGGATATGGACGTGGCAATAGACGAAATTATAATCGTCATCATTTGTGGTAATGAGAACAATAAGGATTCTCAAAATAATCTTTCACTCTGTGAAAAATATTTGTCATCGATTTGACATGAGATTTTGTAAAGCACCTATAGATGATTATGGTCTATTCATGATGTGAATGTGACAACATCTGATTTATGAATACATATTCATTCTTCAAAGAAAATGAACGTACTAGTGGTAGTGAATATACTGCACTCACCTCTAAAAGGAGGTTTGAGATGATATAAGAAAATAATGTCATTATTATGGCATGAATGGTCACTGGTCACGTACCTATTGTACGCCAAAATATTTTGGCATTGTGATTGTTAAAAGACAACGGTAATGCAAGAAACAGATCTTGCATATAATTTTGACCATAACCATAATGGTATAACTTTCTCTTTAAAAGAGATATTCACCATATGGGTGTTGATGAATATGTGGTACTACAAAATTAATTGAGAACTCTGCAAGAGCCAATTATACTATTTTGGAGAAACACAATTAATTACTAATAAGGTATTGTGCTGTAGTAAGTCTCAAAGAAACTTATTCAGTTTCCAAAGTATACGTGAAAGCGGTTGATTATATTGAGACTATAAATAAAGGAAAGATTTAATATCTTCTATTACTACAACTTGTAGCGGGGTAATATGTATGCAAAAAGCTACTCGCTTTCTTCTCCAATTTGTACTACATAAACAAAAGAATACCACAATGAAGTAGATATTTATTGATATAAAAACCCTTATCATAATAAACTTGGAGTTTATTCATAATTGCACACATCATGGTGTAAACCTGAAGTTTATCAATATTGATAATTTATCCAGTTGGTATACTTGGTTTAGCCATGTTAATTCATGTATGATGTGCAAAAATAATAGAGAATTCACATGGGTAAATATTAAAGAACTAGAAAGTTCTTTACGAATTCTCTTATATTGCTTGTTCTCATTNATAAGTTGGTTTACATCACAGTTGGTTTAGCAAAATGATTTATTGAGTGCCTCCACTTAATAGCTAAACTATTGCTTATGAGAACAAAGTTATTTATATCAGTTTGATATAAGTTATATACGAAAGTATATTATTTTCTCCCCTCACAAGTGGTTCAGGGTCAGGAACCAAATAATTCCATCTTATTATTATTGATGTGCGGTGTATATTTTGATTAACACCATAAAACACAAAGGTGGATTCTCAAAGTTGAGGTAATAAGTTAGTTTTTCTAACATGAGGGGGAGACAATATACAACAGTTGAGAAAAAGTTACATGGAATGAATTATCATTCATACATCTAGATCCCCGAATAAAATAATATGAATTTGAAGTTCATAAAAGGATCATTCATGTGCAATTTATTGCAAAGCATGTCAGACGCATTTGCTGACCCAAAGAAAGTAACTATATTCTCATTGCAAATGCTCCTATTAGAATAAGTCCTAGAAGGACAAAGTCTATAGTACGCTTAAAGCATATAGACAAATCGGTTTCAAATAAACTTCTTGATAAAGAAGATGAGCAAATGATCAAAATGATCATAATAAAGGAGGCAAGTGATCTAGAAGATCACATGACATAACACTTCATAACTTATGAGAGATTCAGGTACCTGAAAATATGAATGAAGAGATCTCTATGTTATGTCTTTATGAAAAAATATTGAAACTGAAATAAAATGTTTGTCGACGACATCTATGATAGCACTAAATATATATATGAGGATCTTAAGTCTGAAGAAACAATTCAAGTAGAATTGGTTTCATATGAAAGACATGTAGTTTTGAACATGTAGTTCAAACACTTGAAAGTACAAAAGTCAATGATATGTGCAATCAGTTTTCGATATCTTATATGTCTAGCATGACATGAAAACTTGATATGCATCTAAAGTCTGTTATATGGCTTATATGACTTAACTTATATGACAATCCATGAAGGATTTAAGTTGCTTGAAGCATATACAATTCTTGATCTTGAAGAACCACTTCCTCGGTGCAATTTGTGCACAAATGTATCTTGCTATAACTATATGCATGATAATATGATAGCAAGAGTTTTCACCTCTATGTGAAGATATTGAACTGACGATTCCAACAAGATCATATGAAGACAATCCATCTCTATCAAGAATGATGATTTCAAGGTGCAATATATTCATTCAAGTTAATATGGCTGATTTGTTTATCAAATATCTACCAAAGATCTTTTGAAGATGGTGCACAAGATTGGAATGCAAATGCTTAAGGATGTGAAGTGATGCTCTCATGAGGGGGAGTTAATACGCGTTGTACTCTTTTTCCCTTACAAGGTTTTGTCCCACTGGGTTTTCCTTGTAAGGTTTTTAACGAGGCAACCAAAAGGCGTATTATTAGATATGTGTACTCTTTTTCCTTCTCTAGAATTTTTTTTCCACTGGGTTTTATTTTAGTTAAGGTTTTAACGAGGCACATTATCTGTTGAATAGACATTCAAGGGGGAGTGTTATAAATAGAATTTTATTTATGGTGAATGTCTATATTTAGAGAGATTCTAGGATTTATTACTTGGTGGTTAAGTCACTCTCTCCCTATAAATAGAGGGTTCTATTCCATTATAATTCATCCCAAAATTCAATAAGAATTCTCTCCCTATTTTTCTCTGCAATATTCTTCCTCTTCTTTTATTGTTCATAACAAGATAAAATTCTAATTTTATTGGAATAGTTGGAGTTTTGAGAAAAGTGATAGTTTCAAATAGTGGGGTTGTAAAAACGTGGAAGTTTCAATTCCAAACTGGACCATAAAACTAATTGGCATTTGGTAAAGGAAATTAAATAATTAACTAAATAATTTGTTAAATTAAATGATATCAACGCGGTAGTTCCAAAATATGATTCCAAAGTGATGTGGCAGTATAAAACTAATGTGGTATTTGGTAAAGGAAAGTAAATAATTAACTAAATAATTTTCTAAATTAAATAATATCATCATCTGAATATTCTAAGTTGGTTTTGAATTTGAATTTAAATTTAAAAAGAATTAAATATCTATATTTTTTTAAGAAATAATAATTTTTATATATTGGGATAAGTTAAAATGTAAACTAAACTAAATAAATGTACGTAATGTATTAAACATTTGATACTTTGAAAATTAAAAAAAAAAATCAAACAGCAAAATAAGATCTTAAATAAAATATCTATATTATAGAGATAATGTGAGAGCATTTTAATAACTCTCACAAATATTATTGATAAATTTAAAAAATATCTGACTTTTTAGCAATAAAATTGTAACGACCCAGCCGGTCGTTTTGAGCGTTTGCATTCCGTTCAGCTGTTTAAAGTCTTGAGTAGCTTCATATGAAGTATTATGACTTGTCCAAATCGTCGATTCTAGTTTTCAGATAATTGGGGATTGATTTGGAAGAATGATTCTCATTTTAGAAGCTTTAAGTTGGGAGAGTTGACCGAGTTTGACTTTTGTATATTTGACCTCGGATCCAAGTTTTAATGGTCCCGTTAAGTCTGGATGATGATTTTGGACTTGGACGTATGCCTGAATTTGCATTTGGATGTGTTTAGAAGGTTTCGACACGATTTGACGAAAGTTGGAAATTTGAAGGTTTGGAATGTTCATAAGTTTGACCGAGAGTTGACTTTGATGATATTGGGTTCGAATTATTGTTCCGAGAGCTGAAGTAGGTTTGTTTTGTCACTAGAACTTGTGTGCAAAATTTGAGGTCATTCCGGGTTAATTTGATATGATTCGGCACGAGTTTTAGAAGTTGAAAGTTCAAAAGTTCATTAAGTTTGATTTGAGGTGTTGTTGGGATATACTATTAACCATGCAGTTTAAACATAGTATTATATTTTGTTCTTTATGAAACAATTGTTTATTTAATTTATTCAATTCAATAAAGCACTATTTTAAATGGATCATTTGTAACATGTGTGTCCTTTTGATTATGTAGTAGATAATTTAGTGTATGGAGTCTTAGCTCATACACAAAAGATTAAATTGTTGGTTCTCATAATTAATAAACTATGTTCACAATCGAAGATATTATCGGACAAAATATCTTGATGATTGTAGCGCAAGTTTATTGTATAATTTGTCTTGATTATGGGAGTAAGTCTACTCCAACTTCTTGTGCTAGTATACTCAGTGTATATTGAACGGATCAAGTAGAGAAAAGGTGTTTTTGTA